TTCTTCAGCCAGCGGCTCAGAGATGGACGTTCTCTTCAACCTTTGCTTCTGCTGTCTAACTCCAGTTTGCTGTGCAGCCAACCCCTCCCGAAAGCAACGAAGTCGGCCTTTCTTGAAGGAGCTTGTTGGGTTTGCGCTTACCCTTTCCTTATTGCAGGCTCAACCCCAAGCCCGCTCATGCTCATCTGCCATAGCAGTCTCATCAACTTCTGAGGTTCTTTGGCCAGACGCCAGGCATAACTTGAACTGGTGTGAAAGACGGCTGGATCTTTGCGCAAATCTATGTCTTTGCTTTTTTTACACTCCAGACTTCAGACTTTCAATCTCTGTCACGAGCCGAACCATTTCCAGCAGCATGGATTGCAGAGTGCAGTTTCTCTTTTCTTGCTACTCTGTCACACTCCCAGGCGGGACACGGAGCAACCACCTTCACCTGCACTAGCGCTGTGGGCTGAGAGGGGCACGGCTTGCTCAGCTCGGGTTCTCAAAGCAGCGGTTTCGGCATAATACTAATATAGAGGGCCTGCATAATTACCAATACTTTTGCTAGTTAGTCAGGCCCCTGTATTACTCTTACCCATATCGGCCAAACCCCGGACGCTCTTAATTCCTGTTACAACAACGGAAAGATTGGAAGTCTTCGCAAGCCGGAATGCGGCTTCTTGTTTGTTGTAGATCCGGTTTTGCCTCATCTTGGCCGTATCTTGCCCATGCTTGCTCTTTGGAAGTTGGTTTTAGCTGTTCGTGTGATATGTTATTCCTACCGCGGGGGGATCTTTTGCGCGTGGAACAGAAAATCAGGACAGTCAATCTCCTCAATTAAATTTCTCAACCAACAAGCACAAATATCAGACAACCTCTACCGGGACTCTACCGACATAGCAGTCCATCGCTGTGATGCCAGCACGCCATATGACCCCTGCGAAGGCTGAAGTTCTTCCGCGGCGGGCAGGTGGACGTTTCCATACATTGCTAGCCTGGGTAATCTACAGCGGAAAGTTTTGGTTCAAGCTCGGTCAACGACAGGACAAGCTGCATCTCGTTCTGTCTTAGGCTCTTGTCGGCACACGCAGTCCGCATCACCTGTCTGTCTGCATGCCGATACCCGATACATATGAGCCTGCATAACCACGCGAATAACATATATATATATATACACACACACACATATATATATATATATGTATATGGCCTGTCTACCTGTCTAGCTGTATATCACATCTATGTGTGAGGTAGGTAGATGGGTATGTGGGTGTGTGTATGTGTATACGTATAACTACGTGTGTATGTATATATATATATATACAGCTACATGTATTTAGGTTGTATTCATACGTGTACACATCTATATAGGCATGTGTCTTAAGAAATTCTGTATATATATATATATAGTATACTTATATGTTCGTGTAAATGTGAATGTATGCGTGTGTACATATATACATGTTATCCACTCCAGCGCCCCAGTCAAAAGCCCCAATCCCCTGGAACTGGACAAAGGCTCTAGAAACAAGTTCTCCATGCGAGGTTAAGGGTTTAGGGTTTATCAGAACAGTAACTTCTGGCCTCAAAGTCCTGAAACTCTGTTACTGGCCGTCCTGAAGCTGTCGGTTGGACACGTGCATATCTTGTCCGTTTGACCTGCGAGGAGTCGAGAACCCAAAAGCATGAGAAAGAATTTGGACTGAACCCTAAAGCAATGACGCCTTTCCACTGTTGGCAACCTATCCCTGCAATGCGGGCCTCGTCCTTGCTAAGTCGGAAAAAGCCCGAAAATCAAACACCAACCCCAACAATAGGCTCCCAGCGGAAACCTGCTGCTCGTTGGCCAGCCGTCAGCCATCACCAAGGAGCGTCGACTGTGACTGTGGCTGCGGCTGTCTACTAGGGAAACCGATCAGCTTGAGTCTTGAGTGTGGCCTTCGGCACTTCTCGAATTGCTGTTCATGTGTTTCGGCCTGCTTATGTTTGAGTTTGCTTTGTGTCAGTTGCGAAGGTCAGTACGGGGAAGAAAAAGCCAATGGCAGATGATCCGACCGATTATCCGAAAGCAAGACTTATCACAGAGCTTAAAGTTGAAGCTCCAAATCCAGCATGCCAGGAAGATGGCGAGATTGAGCAGTGCCTCTGTAGCCAAAGTGCGCAGGCCAGCACTGGCGGTTCCACATTTGGACAGCAACTTTCGGAAACCCGCCGCAAGCTCTGCGATATTCATGGATGCTGTCGGGTATAACACAAGGCAGGTCGGAGAATGCCAGTAATCACAGTCATGAATTGTTGCCCCTGGGGCTGATGAATGAAAAGCTCTGAGGAAAAGTCGCTTTCTCATGACATTGCATCCCCATAGGCCCCAAAGTAGTTCCTTTTTGGGAATACCTTAGAGGATTCTATATATGAACCGCACGAAGGAACTACTTTAGGGCCTTTGGGTCAGCCCCATGAGATCCCTCAGATTCTAAACTGCAGACATTCCCGCCCTAAGCCCGACGAGCTCCACAGAAACGCGAGCATGTCTACAAACATTGCTGGGTTTCGTTAAGCCTCCCCGCTGTGCTGCGACACCAAGGCCCAAAGCCAAAGCCCAACTCCTGAAGTCCTAAAACCCGAAACCCCAAAACCCCCAAAAACCCTAAGCAGAAAGATGCGGTGCTAAAGGTTGGCTGTGATGCCACCGCAGAGAGTGTTCAGGCCTGTCGCACGCTAATACGGGGGCCTTGAGATTTGGAACAGCGTTTTGAGCTTTGGGACATATTCTACTACATTTTTGTTAAGGAACCACCCGAAGTAGTATTGGGAATTACTTATATAACTAGGCCCCTATGTTGTTGCACTGCCTGGTCGGAATATTGTACTTGCCTAAATACTGACATGGCAGGTTATTGGGTTATGGGTACTATGAGACTTCTCGGGTTTAGGGGACAGCGCCCCTCGGTAACTTGGCATTTGCGGGGCAGTTACCAGGAATGCTTCAGCCGCTCCAACACGGGTGGAATGGTTCAGGTTCTACGGTTAGTGGTCATAGAGCCTGTTGCGTGAGGATGCTCACTTGAGCGGTTCAGGCTTTCCGGCATAATGTGGTGGGCCTGTTGTGTTGTTGGGTTGAGCGATGTGTACGAGAGTCTACAAGGAGTCATGCTAAGCTGTACACCCTAACCCGCTCACCCTGCGGCTCGTCCGAGTGTAAGTGTCTGAGGTCCTAGAACCTAAACCCTAAACCCCTGTCGCCTGGCTGTGTCCGAGTTGTGAGAGCGTAAACCCCTGTATCAACCCTAAAGTTGGCCCTAAAGCGTGAAAAAGCTTCACAGGCGAAACTCTGCAAACTAGGCGAGGTCAATACAGCATGGGATCCAAGCCAACTCACTGGTACATCGTTTTGTCCATATTGTATTGGGGTGTACTATGCAAACCCCAAAACCACCATCGAAATTATTGTACATTTGCGTCGATTCAGCCACTTGGGCAGTGTGCTCGTGATGAATTCTCCGCAAGATCCCAGGCGACGCTGCCAAAGGTGGCATTTGGAGGGGTCTCATACTAATCCTTGTCCTGCAGAGTGGTGCTGATTGAGGTGGTTGGGGCCAACTGCACCACGCAAAACATCAATGACATCGTGAGTGTATCATGTAGTATTGAGTATTCATTTATGCTCCAGCGACTTCCAGGCCTCCCAGCTTTCACGGCATTCAGCCTGGCAGCGACCTCAGTTGCTTGAAGCAGAGCTTGATTTTCAGTTTTTCCGGGTGTTAGCCCACTTCCCAGCATGTGAAGCTCGTCGGATGCGCATCAAGAGCCGTCTCGACAGCTTGCATGCGCTGCTTCACTATGATGTTGCTGAGAGCCGCTTAGAGTCGTGGGGTTTTGTTGCTATACCATCAACGCAATGGGCTCTGGCCTTTGATTCTTGTCGGAGCCGCACATTGAAGGCGGCTTTGTCCGGACGTTTCTCTGCAAATCTGTGTCGCAGCGATGATCAGGTACTGATGGGTTCAGGCAACACAGGCAGCACACGAGCCTGGATGCATCATGGAAATTCACTTCATGGACGAGGGTTTTGTTATATTTTTATCCCCACATGTAACTCCTTCATGTTGTTGTAGTATTCTACACCATAAAGTTCACCTTAGCAGCCTGTTGTCTCGCTGAGCATTGCCATGGCACCGTGACTGAATGCTGCTGGAGCAAGCTGGGATGCCAGGCTTCTTTAATTTTAGAAGCCTGAATAATTACCAATACTGTGCCTGCGATAGACACCCCAAAACCCTATTCTGTTTGCAGGCCCCATATTGTGTCGTGGACTGTACGCTGCGACTGTTTGTGGTTCAGTGGTTCACGCCTGCAGCACTACTTGTGATGACTCATGGCAGGCAGTTTAGATCAAGCTAACGGCTTTATTATGGATGCTTGAATACAGTACATAGAAAAAATCCTGCTTAGGGCTCCTTATCATAACTGTGCTAGAAGGTGCCTGAATCCCGATTCGAACCATTACGGCCCCTATATGAAAAACTGAGAGACGAGCACGATCAAGGGTCAGGGGTGTAGGTTCAAGAACAGTAGTGCAGTGTGCGCCGTAATCACCATTGTAAACCGGTAGCAGCAGCAGCAGCAGCAGCAGCAGCAGCAGCAGCAGCCGTGGCGGCAGCAGCAGCAGCAGCACCAGCAACAGCATCTGCTAGTCTAGCACCGACCACTGCAACGTCCAAACCCTGCTTTCCGGAAGCTGTAGGGTTTTGTGAAAGGCACGAGGGTAGATTCGTGCATTGCAATTGTACTGCTGAACGCATGCTGCATCATATGCGCTATGCCGGGTGCATGCGTCCGCACATCTCTGCTTTCCAGATCGCTCGTCAGAACATGCCCTCATGTGTGCAGCTCTTGGCTTGAACTTATTTTTGTCTTTTTGGGTTATGAGATGCTGTAGTGTACCGTACCCCCTGCACAGTGTTCGCACATTGTGTCTCTGTTCCTGAAGCCCACAGTGCTCGCAGCACCCCAAGAGGATGATCCACCCGATGGGCTCTGACAAGCCAACACGGCCTGGAGGACTGCAAGTACTCTAGGAGCCGCAGATTGAACCTGTGGAGTTGCATTTTGACTTGTGATTCGCATCTCAAGCATTCGGTTCAGCAGTGTATGCCGCGATCCCGCAGCTCGAAGCCTCTACAAACAACTCAAGGTCGAAAGAGGTCCATGCAGTTGGTAGCTTTCTTCACGGATGAGCCTGCTCGACCCAAGCCGTCCACCCAGACTCTACCCGGCAGAGTCTACCCTAGGGCCCTAGGGGCCTTCATAATTAGAATAGGGTTTTGAGGGGATATCATACTACAATTATAATTAGGAGCCCCCAACACCCTTTGCTAAATATTAAGGCTCTTACATCATGCACCTCGCTCCTTTGGCTGGATGTGTCCTTCCCAGCTCTGTCCTGGAGAGCCGCAGCTCATCCTGCGTGGTGGTGGCGCCCAGAGGCGGGGAAAATACAAAAAGCTTTGCGAGTACTGGGCTCACCCTGTTTGTTTCGATGGTCACAACTAATTAGTGGGAGTGCTTTGGAATGTCTAGCCGGTTGGAACTGCATTTTGAAGGATGCTGAGGATGACGGTGTTCCTGGTGCCCAAGCAGCTGCCGATGCTGCTGCTTCTCCTTCTCCTGTCCTCGTCCCTTGGGACAACAACTGCCAATCCGACCAACTACTGATGCTCTCGCTACGCCTACTCGTATTCCAACTATTCATACGACAGCAACAACCGCTACTGCTGCTACTACTAGTACTACTTACTACTTACCACTGACTACTTGGCACTTGCTACTCAATCGTAAGTTTTACTGTAGTAGCACGACTGCTATTGCTACCATGTCTGGTAAGACGATTGTTGCTACTCCTGCTTCTGACTTTCACGATTCTGACAATGACTTGCGTGGAGAGTTTAGGGTTTGGAAGTATTTGCAGGACGACGGCAGGCGCCTCCTTGGTGGCCGCTTGTGGCAGCTGCACCTCTTGCAGGCCTCTACAGCCGTCAGATAGCAGGGCGAGGAGCAGTAACCAGCACCGGGCCAGCACTCATTTGGCAGTTTGCGGATGTCTTGCTGAGCTGCTAATCCACGTATAGTATACCTACTGCCGAAGGCTCATGTAAACGTGGTTTGGTGCGAGTTCGGGAAGGTGTACTGGAATTTGTTGCATCATAATATGGTTAACTTTGTGTTCGGGGGTAGCTTTCGTGCACTGTCTTGTCGTCCTGTCATGAGATTGTGCGGATGGTTTTGAAAACTGCAGCAGTGGCTGGCTTTGTCCGGACCACCAATGCCACAGTCATCAGAACGATGATCTTTACATCACACCGGTGGTACCAAAATAGGTAATCATAATCACCATCATTCACCATCACCATCATCATGGTTACTCTTGGCCTGCACTTGGGACTAGCAACATGATGAGGACAACAGAAGGAGCCCCGAAGCGAAAGAGCCCCCAAGCAGCGAATCGAAAATCTATGAATCTCATTGTGTTCTCTAGGCGGTTCACATTCGGTGCACATTGAACGGCATGGAGGCCCTACCAAATGCTGTGCTGCCATGCCATGCTACAGAGACCTCCTTGCTACCAGCAGGCAAGCTAAGCTCAAATTCATCATCATTGCGTCGGGATGGTGTTGTTGCCAGAAGGATGTCGTGTTGCTGCAGTGACTGGATCATATTCATCACCAGCATCACAAATATTGGATACTCACCATCCTTATTTTCATTATGCAGCACCCTTGTGTGAGCCGACGCACACTCTTCGGAAAGGGCACATTGAACGTAGAGATTGCGATGCATCGACAGCCAGTCGCTAAGGTAGGCTGCGGCGAGCGGCGCAGAAAGCCCAGGCACCCAGACCCTGGAGAACGGCTTCGGAAGTCACAAGTTGAGGGCTCTGTGGTTTCATTTGCGGCCACCTTCGGAGCAGGTTGCATTGCATGCTTGTGTTTCCAGTGCAGCTGGCTAAAGGACGTTGTGTCTTTTCTGGCTCATCCATTTCTTTCCATACAACAGCAGAGCGACCAGCACAAGAATCGCGAGTCCGGAGTGCTGCTCATTCACTACACCTGGATCCACAACACGAAGTTAGTACAGTCGGACTGATTCTGGCTCCTCTCCCTCCTTCCCTCTTCCCACATATAGTGAAACCGAGAAAGTTGGAACATAGATTGAGGATGGTTCATGCTGGGATTACCTATGCTTTACTTTCAGGGCATGAGGCTAATGATGTTAAAACTTTCTTGCTTCTACTGTATATATATATATATATATACATACACACAAACGTACGTATATGTTACATTCGGTAGGTAGATGTATACATATCTATGTTCCGTCTCTGCTTGTCAGGTACACCTGATCCCAGATATGTTCAGCATTCGCAAACCCAAAGGCCACGAACCTGCGAGCCGACTTCGAGCGCACAGCTCCGAACTGGTCGGCCGGCACATCGCATCTGGAGGAGCAGTGCAGAACTGAACAACTTGTGCAGGAGCCTAAGTTCCTTATTATAATTATAGCATAATGGGCCCCAATACCCTATTCTAGTTATTCTGGCCCGTATTTTTGAAGTACTAGCCCTCAAAAAAGTCCTGAGGGCTCCTTACGTATTGAAACCAAAGTAGAGAATGTGCCGCAATCTGCGCCTACTTCACCCCAAAACCTTGTTCCAATTATTACGGGTTATCAAGGCGCCTGCTAAAGCAAGGCCTGCAGAGTTTGGGGCTTAGGGTCTGAGTCTGGGTTCAAAACGAAAGTGTCAGGAATTACCGGTGGGAAGATATCTCGGCTTGGATTGCCTTGGGGTCTGCTTGAACTTCGTGCTTGAATTGTGGCTTTCTTGGGTTTGACGCTCCGCAACTGACGATTGCTTCAATTTTTGTTGAAGGCCTTGACTCGCGACAGTCCCAACAGTAAAGTTCTAGCAAAACCAAAGCACTGAGCAGGACAGAGCGAAGCCTTAAACGTGTGGGAGCGTACTATAGGGGCCTAAATAATTACCTATACTGTTTTGGGGGCTCCTTGTTATACTTATAGTCCTGTTCTAAGTATCAAGGCCCCTATATTCAACTTTGAAGCCGAAGTCGCCCGAAACATCTCGAAATGTAGGTCGGTAACGCAGGGTTCGGGATCCCAGGTCGGGGCCTACGACAACGCGGTATTCATAAAGGCGTCGGCTTCTACAAGAAATCAGAGCTCAGCACCCTGCTAGGGCAGCATGTTTCGCAATGTTCTGAGCAGACTAGCCTGTTCTCATCATATTGCCATCTGCCTCCTAAACTCACTCAACTCTTGAACGCTTAGGCCTCGCATTCGCTTCGAAGCATCCTGAAACCTGTAATCTCCCTTTAGAGTTACAGACCATCTGCACTACGAACCTTGAGTTGGCTGACCCTTGAAGGATCAGAACCAGTGGAGACTTAGACTTAGCAAGTTTAGGTTGCGAATGAAGGCTTAGGGATTAAAGTTTGGGGTCGTATTTGGGCTTCTAAATCGGATTCCGCGAAGTGAGGCTCGTACAAGACCCATTTCGCTCCCCCAGCAACACAAAGCAGGATGACTTGCTCCTGAAGACTTGGTCGTGCCTTGGGCTTCGGCTAAGGATGTGTTTAACCTATGCTGTAGGTAGGGTTTCTGGTTCAGATTGATGTGAGAGCCCAAGGAAGGGTCGGGTTAGATGAAGTTGTGGCAGTCTTCCTAAGACGTAGAAGTGAGAATGAACAGTTTTCAGGTAGCCGCAAGATGTTCGGAATCACCACTAGCAGCATTTGCGGCACCGTCATCATTATATCCAATGTGGACATATATCCTGAACCTCCACCCGTGAACGTTCCAAAAGGATGTGTATTTGTTGAGTTTTGTTTGCCTTTTTTGCAGTATGTGTTTGTTTGTTGGTTTCTTCGCTTCCTGGCTGCGGTAGCCAGTCAATTGCAGTGGTGCAAGAAGGTTTATGTGCTGTGGTCATCTGTGTTGGGCCATAAATTAGAACTGATTTGGAGATCTTTGCATTCGGCGAGACGGCGCTATGACTACTTCTTGTTATGGCTGCTGTCACTACTGTATTCGTCGCGATGACTCTTACCATTATTCGTTTACCTTACTGGCTGCTGTTTTACTGCACTTGTTAGGATTTCTGTTGTATCCCGTTGTTATTGCTCTTGCTATGACCATTCCTGCTTGCATTGCGAATATTGTCGTTTTTTTTTGCTTTTCCTATTGCGTACTGTTACTTTTTGCCAGCGTTACTACTGTTTCTGTTGCATACTGCTACCTCCGTTACTGCTTCAGACCCCCACCAGGCCCTACCACCCTGCCCGACGCACTGTCTCTCTCTCTCTCTCTCTCTCTCTCCCTCTCTCGCTGTCTCTCTATCTCTCTCTCTCTCTCTCTCTGTGTCCCTGCGACGCTCTCTCTCCCCCAAAACCCCACCACTAATGAGAGAGTGTTCCCCTCAACGTCAGCAACACAGTGTTGGTACGCAGGGTGGGGGGCAGAAAACAAAAAAGCACACCCCAACGCATGTTTAGTTCTCGACATGTTCTCGACCTGTTCCCAAACAAACTGCAGGCAGAGTAGACGGAGCAGAGTCGAGACGAAGAGTCATGAAATGCATCCCTCTGAACCCTAAGCCGTAAGCGTAGACCCCGATGTCTCCGCGTCTCTGCCAATTCGAAGGTCGTCCGAACTTCTTCAGTTCCCAAGGCGCGGCCGACAGGGCACTGCAGGCCTGGATCCCAAGGCGAGGACCCTTTGAGTCATTCTAAGTACATTATACTGTATAATATCATACTATACTATACTATACTATACGGTGTTATACTTAACTAAATTTCACTATCTTGTTTTATTTATGGTTGCTGGTTTATGGCTTCAGGAGCTTGGGGTTTAGCACTATGGCCGTGCTCTGGCAGCCGGAAGTATAGGACCAGTTTCTAAAAAGGGTTATGGCTTCAGGTTTTGAGGGGGTGAGGCCAAAGAGCCCTGCTTCAACAAAGGCGCTGGCAAGGAAGGCTTTGAATTGCCTTTTGGAAGGTAGGCTCCTGGCAATTAATGTTATGTTGCTCGTTTGCTGTCCTTGCAGGTCTGTGTGAGTGATCTGTGTCCGGAACACCGTCTGCGAGTCTGGGCGTATCTGCGCCCCTTGGCATTGTAATTCGCATGGGCGAGGCTTTGTGAAGTCTCCTCTACTAAAGAACACCTAGGCCAGGCCCAACCTTAAAACAAAGGACGATGTTGCAGTCTTAGAGCTCAACCTCGGAGAGGATCATTTCGGATCGCTATGAGTCTGCAGTACGTGGGCCTTCCCCCCGGCTGATATCTTCGGGATTCTTCGGGCAAGGACAGAGTTTTGTTTTCTCCGGTCCAGCTGCTTCTTACCCGGGGCGGGCACGGAACGGGTTTGCAAAAGCCATCTCTTGTGTGAAGTCTGTACTCACAGATGAAGCGGCATATACATCGTAGCCGAATATGCTAGGCTGAGGTAGCTAGCGCTCTTCAGGCCAGCTCAACCCGCACGAACCGTCTTTGGCCGCGGCTGGGCGAAACAACTTTGACCTAGGACCTAGGGCATTCTTGGAATTCGGACTTTCGATGTTGAAAGGTCGGGACGGGCAGCAGTAAGTCGGTGGAATGTACAAGTAGGGCATAGTAGGACGCATGGTCCATTCACTCAATTCAAGGTCTTTGCCCCCGCTGCCTCTATCTGATAGATAACTTGCCATGTCATGTTTGCATGATATGCTCGCCTGTTGTCCTCAGGATCCGTCGGGGAAAGGCTCAAGGTTTAGGGCTTTTGGGTTTTGGGGTTTAGGGCTTCAGGCAGGGCGTAGGGCTTCAGGGCTCGATTAGGGTCGCACACCCGGATGCCCCGAGCCCCCGCCTAATACACAAACTGACCCCCGAGATCCAGTTTTTATATCAGGGGATTAGGGGGGATGGCTCTTGAACGTTAGGGGGAAGCGATTGCGCTTGCACTGCACGAAGGGGTCACTGTACAAGGAGGTTCTGGATTTTGAGGGTCAATACGTTCTGCATTTTGTGGGTCAAGCCCGGCACAAGATCTGCCAACAAGGCCACACGAATCACAAATCCGCCCATCCGGAATCCAAACGTCGGACCCCTTGAATGCCACAACTTAGATTCCGGTGCCATGCCATGCGCACAAAAACATGGGATGGATATGCATGATATACGTCTAGATGAATTAATTCATGCACAAATGCGTACACACACACGCACACATACGTCATACGTGCATGCCTATACATACGTATACATACATACACTCATACATGCATCTGCGCGCACATGGCATTCATGCATACGCACGTGCACACTTTCATACCCTGATCCCTGTAAGCCCTCTACCAACGTAGCCTCAGGCTTTCGGTGGTTGAGATTTGAGAGACCCTGCCGCTGTAAAACGCCCAAAGCTTCCCGTCCGTTCTTCGAGGCGATCTTCGCAGCCATGGATGCAGTGCCCGGCAAGCAAAAGCTGCGGGTGAAGGAGCTCTTTGAAAGTTGCGCCTCGACTGAAGGTCGCTAGGTAGGTAGTTGGCCGCAGCTGATATAGCCTCATCACTGCCAGACTGACTCCCTCTTCGCGATGCAGGCGAAACGCTTGGGTCTTGAAGAGACCAAGAGAGTTGGGCATGTTCAGAGAGCGCATCTTTTCGACAACAACCTGCCAATGCTGTAGCATCCGAAAACGGACATGAATCCGATGCCAAACTTGGTTTTGCAGGAGTGCAGTTCTAGATTGAAGATGGGAGCCCATCCCGGCAGTAGAGTCGGGATGTCCTGGTAGGTGACATCGTGTCGGCCATCGTTCAATGGTGGCTGCGCCGGGACCGCCGTGATGGACGCCGGGTGGGCACACGACAGCCGGAGCGCGGCTCTGCAGAAACGGTATAGGCCAGAAAATGATCTTGTTTCCATTGCAGGGAGTCTGCAGATTGCTCTCCATGAAGGTAGTGGGCATAGATCCTTAAAATGTTGAAGTTCTTGGTCGGCCCGATGCTCAGATCGCAGATGTGATTGCACAAGTGGGTATGAAGCATTCCTAGACAAGGCTCCCGAAAAGAGGTTTAGGGTTTGGGGGGTAGAGAACCCTTGTGGCCTTGTTGCCATTGTAGAACCCTTACAGCTTCTGTATGAGCAGGCCAAAGACACGCCAAGTTCTTGTTGCGTAGCCGTTTACAGATGCTGGGGAGTCTCTGACTCTCAGGATCCGAATTACATACTTCTAGTGCACATATCCAAGCCGTCCCATCTATAGGCCCCCTGTACTTATTCTATAAAGTAGCCCTTGTAGAACCCAGGAATAATCGATGCAGCTTGCGGCCATGGCTTGGTGGGACTCTTGTCTCGCAGTCTGTGCATGTACTGTGGACGGAAAGATTAGCGATTTTTGCCGAGAGATGTGTTGCCGACATCAGCATCAGATGGCCAAATGAGCCCTCGCAACCCGCACCTAATCCGACACGGCCTAAGGCTTTTAATCGGCCTGGCATGTAACGATCCATGTAGGACAGAAGGCCTCGAGGCCTCGAGGTCAGGAAGAAAATATGGGAAGGCTTGCCCACGGCTACCCATCGGATCTGTGGGAGCACGAGGAATGCTGCTGTCACATTGCTTCCCCGACTCCGCTGTCTGCGCTGTGGACAGGGAGGCCTGATCTCTTTTAGATCTTTGTGTGTAGTCTTGTGTCCTCTTGCCTGGGATTGTGTTGGGATCCCCCCTTTGCCATGAAGTTAATTCGGTTGCAGTGACGCCCTAAAGCCATTCATTTCAGAAAGCACAGGATGAGCAGGAGGGCTGCGACAGCGGCCCCTAAGCCCTAAGCCCCAGCAAGAAAGAGAGGGAAACAGAGACGCGGATCTCAATCACAGACGCCGGGAACTTTGGCAGACATCGTCTCAGCGAGCCCCTGAAACCCAAATACAGGACCGCTAAGCCGGGGGTCCGACACACTTACTTAATCTTACTTACATGTCAGCAGCTTCACCACTGTCGCCACCAGAGACACGAACAATGCAACACGACCTGACCGGGCGCGGGATTCTACAAGCAGGAGCATTCCTTGGTCAAAGCGCTTTTGCGATTGCTGGAGTGCTGCACTTGAGGCTAAACGTCACCTAACTGAGATCATCATAATCACGGTTTAGGGTTTAGGGAGCGGGGGAGAGAGGGGGGCTCTTGCTGTAACCGGGCTGCTGGACAACGAGGCCTGCTGCAAAAAGGGTTTAGGGTTTAGGACCCTCGTACTTGCTTGGTGTCCTGGGGTGCAGAAGGTAGCCTCAGGCCTCTTCGTTACGATTGAGGGTGCCGGGATCAGGGCTCGGGTCTGGAAGTGTCAGTCGGCGGCAGAAGGAGCGAAAGCTGATGCCAGTTGCGCTTTCTACTTGGGCACAGCTTGGCCGGCGCTTGGACAAATTCGAGACTCTTCGCTGCAGGCAGACAGTAGGTTTGGTCGCGGGTGCGGGGCGTGGGAAGTGAAAGTATGGTCATGATTTTCATGGACCTGCGTATCATCACAACCCTCACCATGAGTGGTAGAAGTGGCCGTCGTTTGCTGCTGCTCCTACTACCGCTACTACGAAGACGATTACTTCTACTGCTAGAACAAGAACAAGAACAACAGGGCAGCACGTGCGTCTGCCCTGCCGTTACCAGCATATCAGCACTCTGCTTATGTGGACGGTACATGAGTTTGTGTTCAAGATTTCATTTGCAAGCCTTACTCTAGATGATCGCTTCCTCGAGCTTCCAATTAAGCCTCTTTGACGCTAAAACCCGCCTATCTCTAGAAGCCCTCAACCCTCACACGACCCCCATCAACACCAATCATAAAACTGCTTTTTCCTCGTGGAAGCCGAGGTTCCGACTGGGCGATCTCCACCAGGAAGGGTCGGCATGGCTGGGGGGCTCTTCAGCTTCGCTGTCTCCGTCTCCGTCTACGCTCGTGGTCGCAGTGCATGCTTGCAGCTGGGTCTGGCATGTTGAAGTTGGAGGGCTCGCAGAATAAACTTGTAGGACGGATCAGAGCTGTGCTGTGTTACTTTCTTTTGTTCTCCGAGACTTCAGACCCAGGCAATCAAGCGACTTTGGATGTACTGGATTTGGCAACGCACTTTGGCACCTCCTGGGCTGTGGTACCCTGCTGCATGCGCAAGCAAAAATATTTCCCAGGTGGCTCATCGCACTTGGAGCGCGACGAGCACTATCCAGTGATGTGTGGAGCTCTTTCCGCGAGGTTTGGTGCCGACATGCTCCACAGCATCGACAAGCTCATTTCCACAAAGAATTTGATCATCGCGAAGAAAGCTCCGCGGCATGGTTGAAGTTCCTCAAGACGGAGCGTCGACAATCGAACTTCACCCGGGCACAGTGCGTGCGTGCCCAAGGTACATGTTGCAAAGACCTCGGAGCGAGGCGCTCGGCCTTGAGTGGAGTCGGTGACCTTCTGACGCTGCTGACCTGCCCTTCACTCGGGCTTGGTCCACCTTTCTAGCCGTCCTGGAGACTCGATGCATCCCGATCGCCATCCTTTGTCAGCTCACACGTCTCAATCCGTGACGAAGGAAGGGAAAGCTCAGAAGGGACCCAAATGGGCCATGCAGGCCTGTGAGAGGCTTCTTCCAGGAGCATGCAGAAAAAGGAATGACTTGTGCGTTGCATTTTCGCAGCCCTTTCTGTATGGCGACTTCCTTGATCCTGGGTGGCAGAGCACATTCGCATGCAGGATATGCTACTGCTGCCGCGCCCGGCAATTTCCTGCTGGCGTCCTCAGAGAATGCGCATTGGATCCAGGACTGCTTTGCGAAGAGTGCTCGTCTCTCGCGAATCTCCTATATAAAATGCTGGACAGCAGCTGCTAGAAGATGGTGAGTTTTTGAGTTGCAACTAAAGCGACTATTGCAGCTCTGTCACTGCTACTGCGTTCTCCGTCCTTTCATATTGGAGCTGTCCTGCTAGTATAGTCTTCCGGTTCAGTGCTGCCGTCAGCGTAAATGCTGAGAAGTTCACGCTGTTTGGAGCTTCTGGTCCGCAGACCATGCTCATGAAGATCTGTTCAGGGCTTAGGGTTTAGGGCATGTCTGCAGAGAAAGTGCGCTGCTTGCCGGTAGCCTGGAAGGATGTCACGGATCCTTTGGCTGCCACTTGTCTTCAAAGCTACTTTTCTCATGGTGCTAGGGCCTCTGGGGGTACTGATTGTCCCAAGCTGTGAATTTGAAGAGCTGAAAGGACAGAGCAAGCTCAAAGGCTTTTGAACTTCTTGTACCCTGTCGTGTCATCGTTGTCTTAGGGGGTTTTGCTGGGGGCAATCGTTGCAGCAGCAACAGCAGCAGCACCCGCCAAGAGAACAAGACTGAGAAGCGGAATGAGAAGATGTAATGGCATCAGTATGTCAAACTCGAGGCGTCAGAATCAAACTCAACTCGATCCTCAATACCTGAAATACCAAATCACCCGAGCAACAAAAAAACAGACCTCAAGCTCTAGCCCTGAAGCTCTGACGGCCGAACTCCCTACAAAGCATATTATATATATATATATACACACATATATATATATATATATGTATACATATGTATACATATGTATACATATATATATATATATATACATATATATATATATATATGTATATATATATACATATATATATATATATATATACACATATATATATATATATATATATATATATATATATATATATATATATTATAGACCTTTTCCAGGATGACTTCCGGAACTTGAAGGAGCCCGGGCCGCAGCTGTCCCGGGAGGGCCCCTTCTTTGTGGTGGAGGGCCCTGAGGCGCCCCGGTTGGAGGGCTTAATCCAGGAGCCCAAACCAGGACCCTCCATACCCTCAAATAGGGGTATATGGCCCCAAATAAGGGGCACTTAGGGTCTAGTAGAGAGTAGATGGAGGGTCTAGGAACAATTACCAATACTAATGTGGCGGCTCCTTATTAATTGTTATTATAGCTATAGTACAATATACCCCAAAACCCTATTCTGACTATTAAGGCCCCTGTATTGGGGGGCACCCGGCAGTCGCACTAGGCCTGGATGCAAAAAGGGTCAAACCTAACATATTCTATAGGAAGGTGTGTGCTAACATCCCTTGTTGTATTTTTGTTGCCTCTCTCTCTTTACTTACACACATACATAAAAGTATACATACATACATATATATATATATATACATACATTATAACATAACGAGACTCTTGATGATGGCACGGCAGGGAGAGATATATAAGTTATATATATAAATATAACTTCGGGTTGTGGAACAGGCCATTCGTTTGCTTCTGGCCAGCGATTTTGCCCGGTCCCCAGTAGCCGCGACTTCAGCTTGGGCAGTTTCTGGCTTTGGGCGTTTTGCCACCAAAAGGTCTGATGTAGGCTGATATGGGGCCTCAACAATGAGAAACTACTTTTTCTTATACTAGCATTGCAGATCAAGGGTTCTAGCGGATCCCAAGGCTTCGTGTTAATTACAAGTCCGCCGAGGCCGCAGGCCCGGGCGTATTCAGGGTTAACTCAGGTACCCTCCACCTAAGCTACCTGCGTGCAGTCCGAACGTTTGGAACCACCCGCTTTTGCATTCATTTCCCACCCCCCGCACGGCTTTGTTTTACCTGCTTTTTCCGCCCTCCCCCCCCCCCCCGCCCCCCCGGCCCCCTCCCTTTTTCTGCTTTTTTTGTTCTTTCCTCCCACCACCTCTCTTCCCTTCCGCTGCGCCCCCTCCTTGCCCCCCTCCCTCCCCCTTCTGCATCCGCTCTGCTGTTTCACATTACAGAAACAAGTCGATGAGTTCGGTCACTGTGCTGGTCTCCGCAAGCCGAGGCGGGCGGTGTCGCGTCAAAAAATTCTTCAAGCTTCCATATCGGGAACTCCATGTGCTTAAGTTGTGCTGAGATTCGGGATGTCAGCAGGCAGCAAGCCTAGCTGTTGTCGTTTCGTGGCCATGATGAGTGCCTATGGCAATGAACGAGGTTGAGTGGATGCTACCCTTGCTACTGTCCTGCTACTGTAATAACAATAGTACTATTTAATGGCAATGGCAATAACAGTAGTAATAGCATTAGTACCAATAGTAATTACTAATGGCAGTAATAGTATTAAGCTGAGGCTGTGACGAAGCTTCTGCTGAAGCCCTCTCTGCTGGACTCCATGGCGGAAGCTTTGGAGTCGAGGCTGAAGCGTGCCTGGGCCAAGAAGTTTGGGGTTCGATGAGTTCCAGTGCTCGGCACGGAAGTGTGATTAAACTACTGTAATAACAATAGCAATACTGGTCATAATAACAACAATACCAAATCATGGCTAGACGCCTTCATTTCGCAGGACCAGATCCTGGCGCTAGGAAACTTTGCGAGATTTCAAGCATAGTCGAGACGTTGTTCATGAAGCAGCGCACCCCTGCATAAACCCTGAACCCTATAGACCCTAAACTTCTAAACTCCTAAACCCTGAACTGAAACGTGTTATCATTTCGACTCGTTTCAGGAGTCATGCTTCGACTTCGGTGCGTTGCATTATTGCTTGCTTTTAACACCAACCTCTGTGTATGTCTATGTATCCGAAACGTTGTTGCAAGCTTCAAGTGGTGGGGTCGAGTGGAGACCTTACAGGGTTGCGTGACACTGAACCAAATATACCAGACAAAAATTAGAATAGGGCTTTGCGACATATCACACCACGGGAAACCATGAAGAGTACTCTCCCAAATAATGAAGCTTCTACAAGAACATCTTGATTTCGCGGCGGCCCATCGGAAAGCATGTTGCACTCCTCAGTCGTGCGCCGCTGCACGGCCAAGGTGAAACAAGCGCAGGTGCAGATGCACAGGCCAAATCTGTTCAGAGTTACGGGAGAACCGTGTCTGTCACCGAGTTTGCATCAACCTCAATAAAACATTATATGTATATGTATATATATATAGATAGATATAAATACTGATGTTGAGAGAAGATGAGCTTGCGTAACATCAGTCCTAACCCACTTGGCCTGAATCAAACGTCAGGTCATGCTTCTCCTTTGCAGCTTGTCAGCATCTTTTCTGACTTCTTGCTGGGTCCCTCTAAACCCAACCATTTTCACCGACTGTAGCCGACTGTTGACACATGCCTCGCCTGAACTGTTTGAGTTGTGAGCGCCGAGATGCCACCATCCCTTGCACTTATGATTCTTGGCCCCGGAGTTACCCAACTCTACTTAGAGTAACCAACGTACGTTTTGAGAAAACAGGTGATGACCCCAAGGAAATGGCACATGTACCTTTTTAAGGTACCTTCGGTTACTCTGCGCAGCTACAAGCAGCAAGTGAGATCGGCTCAGATCGCCCAGACCGAGGCGATGCTGGGATCATGGAGCAGGCTTGCGGACAGAAGCCCAAAGCAGGGAATGTGCTTTGAGGTATAGGGTTTTCGGGTTTCGTTTCGAATGCCTGAGAGAGAGAGAGAGAGAGAGAGAGAGAGAGAGAGAGAGAGAGAGAGAGAGAGAGAGGATCTACTTCCCAGCAGAGGCTGCGCAGGCTGGATGCAGGGTTTAGGGTTGAGAGACCTCAAGGGTTTTGTTAACCAGAAAAATCCTTAGGCTTTTGGAGTCTCTGTGTAGGTGACTGGCATCCCGGCGAAGCACGCGAGCGCTGCGTTGGCGATCGCAAGACGAAGAGCGCCCTGCTGCTTACAGGACCACTGTCGCAAGCTACGTGCTGCTGAGCTACTGTCACCGATTCGGCCTTTGAGCACTTTTTGTCGAATTGGCATGGGTTCAACTCATGCTGCTTCGGAAGCGGAGTCATGGGTGCATGTCATGTTGTGAGGAAATCCCGCAGTTCGCGGCCGGCGCTACCTTTCGCGCACTCGCGTTGGAAAGAGGTCTTGACGAGGCCTGTCCAACAGCATGGGCACGCATGGTTGCATGGGGTGTCGATCAGCACGTTGCGAATATATGTGTGCATCCATATGTCTATATGTATGGGTCTGTGTGTATATGTATATACAATTATATACATATATGTATACCCCACATACATACATGTATCTTCGCACACATTGGACCACAGATAGCCTGCAAAACACAGAGGTGACCATGAGTTTTCAAGCGATCTTTCTTTGAGTCTATGCTGTCTGCATGATATAATAATGAAAGCACGGGGTTGTGTTGGACTGTTAGACAAGTCAGATGCTTTCCTGCAGGCGCCGTGGTTTGCAATAGGCTGTTATCCAATGTCTTGCTGCTAGGAATCTGTTGGGGCTTTGTTTCGCACCTTGACTGCATTCAGTTTGAAGTGTTCTGCGGGCAAGCGCCGCGATCAGCCCAAGTCATCCGTGTCTTGAGGAGTCGCAGCTGCCTTTGGTGCCACCTGGCAAAATTCGCCCTTTTCTTCAACTCAGGGTTCCAGCAGAACGCCGAACAGCAGATCTGCTCATCAGTCATGGAAGGCTTTTCACTCACCTGGTATCGGCATGGCTTCATCAGTCTGTATGCTGCTACGGATCCTGGTGTCGCTGAAGTAGCAAGTTTTACAGTACCAGCAGTACGGCAAGCGAAGCGTCAGTGGACTTAGGAAGCCGTCTGTATTGGGGTAATCTTCTTACTAGTCCCCAGATCCTTCAAGCAAAACACGACATGTTTGGGTAGTGTTTGTTTGAGAGTCGGTATACAGACTGTGCTTGTTTGAGAGTCGGTCAGCAGATGATGGCACGGCAACGTAGGGTCAAGGTACTTACTATACGAAGTAGCCCGGGGCGAGCGGAATGCATGTGAATGCATCGGGATGACAGTATTCTAGTCCACAGCCCGTGGTGCACCGTAGATGTTGCTAGCTGACCACCCAGCCACGTGCCTCACCCAGGTGTCCGTGGTGCTCTGTGACTCGGAGTGCGGCGATCCCTTCCACCGGCGAGCAGTCCGAGTGCATGTCCCAGTCAGGGGTTTCATGGGTTGAAGGATGCCTAGGAATCGGGGCAGCCAAGGATTCGGAGCCGACACTCACGCCCCCAATGTCAACTTCCTGGTTGCTCGTATATCTACGTTTTGATATGTGCGAGGGCTCAAAATATGTTGATATTTTTATGCATACATACATGTATTGAATATAAACAATGTGCACGTGTACATATTTGTTTTGCTTCACATACATCTTCTAATTATGGGCTAGGCCCGCGGCTAGGTGTAGCGGAGTGTGAATGTAAGGTCTCGATATGTCTCGATGCCGATATGGAGAAGGTGTCATAATTATCAATCATTAAGGACTGAAAAAACGTGCTGTAAACCCGCCACGCTCTGGAGGTGTCCATGGGACATGTGCTACGTGTCCCCTTTGTTCAGGGCTGCCTCCATGCGGCTCGATGCAGCACGAGGGGATTGTTGTCAACGATTACGACTTCGGGATCGACATAGGGCTTGCTGCAAAGTTGTGACTTGTTGCTTCCCCACCTTGAAATGCAACATTAGGTGGCTTTCTGAGGATTTGCTTGGCGAATTGGTTGCAGCGGTCGCTCGGCTAATGCTGGAAACTGGCAGGTACCCTGCACGAGAATAATATACCAGCCTGGGCAATTACCAAGCTATTCCTCTCGGCTCCTTAATGTATCTTTGCCATAGAATTCCCCAAAGCCATATTCTAAGTTTTAAGGCTCCTTACATGAGGAATTTCTAATTTGCCAAGAAGCATCAAGGATGTGCAGACTATTGCCGTGTGCGATGGTCTGCATGAGACGGGCTCATACCTCGATGAGCTCACCGAACTACAGAGCCGCAACAAGGATGCACACAGGCACTTTCCTCTCCATGCATGTGTGTGTGTGTGTGTGTGTGTGTCTGTCTGTCTGTACGGCCAACATTTCCGAGTAGCTAGCGGTCTACAAGTAGGGCCGGGTTGCCCATCTTAGGGTCTCTGGGGTTGAAGATTGTCTGGCAATGGGGGTTTCGGCCAGAGTGTTTCGGTGCGATGTATACTAGTTGTGCTATTTTCCATTTTGGAGGAATTTCTGGACGCAGAAATCTGCAAAATCCTTCGTGCAGGGGAATTCGCCTGCCGGTGTACCAGGGTTTGTCATCAGGTGTAAAACTTGTGGCACTCGCATGTTTGTCGTCAAAAGCTACAATGTTGGATAACATATATCAAATCTGCCATTCCTGACACGAAGCCCATGCTTGATGAGCCATGTTAACTACCCTGCTATGTGTTTTTGTTGCCATCTCGCGGGCAAAGAAGCCGTAAACCGCACTACACTCCGAAACCTTAACCCCGAAAGCCTAAAGCCCAACCCGTGGATTCGGAGAAACGTAGTACCAAAAAACCCTAAACCCTAAAGGCCATACCTAAACCCTACAGTGGCTCCTCACAGTAATCTGAGGGTGGGCCTGCTTCGTTGGAGTGGATGGTGGTGTGCAAGAACCCCTGGCCAAGCTTTGCAGGCAGGGTAAGATAGGGATCGGACTAAAGAGCTAGCAAACATATCCGCTTGTAGTCCTTCTGTCACAGCTATACTTGCAGTATAGTTGAGTTCATGTTAATCTTGAGGGTATATGAATACATGTGATGAAAATATTTCTAACAATAGACATAATTATGGCAATGGTAAAAATGCGACAGTCTGCTCGGAAACCCTATTCTGACCGTGAAGGTCCTGCATATGATCCTGATCTCCAGCTTCGGGGTCTCATGGCGACGGGTGCAGAGCATTCAGACATCATACAGAATGATGGAGAGTGGTGTGACCCTCAGGTGATAGAAAACCGAAAAGGGCGGCAACGGCTCTGCTGATCGTTTAAGGTTGAACTTAGCATGCAGAGCAGTCCAGGCGGTACTGTAGATACCTTTGCCATGAAGCCTCGCGCCGTGGTGCGAGGACCAAAGTTACCGTCCGAAAAGCTTTGCCTGGAGTCTCTTTGGGAACGGGCGTTTCTGCGAGCATTGTGCTGTGGCCTGGCATCGACTCACCGTTGTAGGTTTACAGGGGTTGGCTTCAGGAAGGTGCAGTGCCATCACGGGCTTTGACTTTGGCATGGTCCTGCCCATGTGCGATGCTTCTTGCTGTTACTTTCAGTGTAGGGCTAGGGGGCACCAGCAACACATATACTCAATCCCAAACTAACTACTCCGCACCTGGATTGCCCAAGTTGAGGACCTAAGCCCCAAGTCCTGACCTGACTTCTGCCTGGACCTAAGGAATGCTTGCATTGAGCGCGAGGCGAAAACGATCGGCCTGCACCCGCTGCTTAGAGCTTTCGCACACACTCAGGCCACAGTCTAGGAACCAAGTTTAAACGGGCACGTCGTAGCATAAGGGGCTCCAGTTCGAGCCACCGACACTCCCGAGCACGCCTTCCAGATACTACCCCCAAGCAGAGCCCAGAATAGTTCCCGGGTCATGCTTTGCCATTTTGTGATGTTTTGGCAACCTTCCGAGCCATTTTGAGACCAACAAGTCCCATTCCCAAGAGTCGAAATACTTAGTATAACCCTAAACCCCTAAACCCGAAACCATAGCATGCCCCTTTGGAGGGGGGATCCAGGGCGACCCTCGCAGCCTCATAGTCCGCCGGAAGAAGAAGACCAAGACATACTCCCCTTTAACAAAGGGACCTTAATCATTAGAGTACGGGGTTTTGGGGCGCGTTACACTATCACTGTATTGGGGAACGCCCAAAATAGTGTAGGTGCTTATCACGGCCCCTATACTCGCCACAGCATATTGTGCCCCAACACGTTAAGGCCCAGACGAGAATTTAACCTTTCTGGGACTCTTTACAGGAACCCTGTAGAGGCTTAAACTCCTTCAAACTCATCACTTAAAACCTTAAACCCGGACGGAAAAGTGCTCAAAGAAAACCACCATACACCCTGTAAAGGCCTAGATTCCTGTCAAAGACCCAGCCCAAGGCCTTTCTCCACTGGCCTCAGCGCCTTTGCAGCTCTTGGCCAGGACTCCTTAAAAGCAGGGTCTACAAGGGATCTATAAGAAGTGGTTATAGGGGGGGTGATATAGTGGCTTGACTAGGGTTCGGTTTAAGGGTTCCTTCGAAGGGACATCTGTAAGGGCTCTGCAGGGTTGAACACAGGGGCTTTTGAACTTGTAAATTTAGGGTTTGGGGGGAATATCTCAACCGGAACCCCATGGACTTGTCCAGGTCATAGTTTTAGCCTTCTAGCCCAGTTCATGAAATGGAGTAGTACTGTATGCTTTAGGGCTTCTGGGGTGTATAGGAGTTTCCAGAGATATGGGACCCTAATATAGTATGCTAAATAGTACACCCCTTATTATAAGGACCCCAAAATAAGGTACCCCTGATTTTCGGAAGCTCGTGTAGCAGTGCTTCAGGCTTGCAGGGTTTGTGGTTTCGGGAGGCATTCTGATTCGTCACGCCCTCCTCAATGCAGTGGTGAGTCGAGTCTTTGTGAGGAACAGGCCGGCCTTAGCCTCTACAACCTCCACCCCAACTTCCTCCAGAAGCCCTAAAGGCCCTAAACCATCCTGGACTATGTGGAGCCTTGCCTGGCTTGTGCGAGTGTGAGCGTCGAAAACCATCCTAAACCCTAAGCATCAAACCCTCATCCCTGTATGGTGAATGACAAATTGGCGTCCAATAATGTGAGGCTGTCGTCAACTGTTCTTCGACGTTACCCCGCAATGCGGGCTTTGTCCTTGCTGGGTAGGAAAGGAAAAACCCCTCATCCCCCTTGCTTCGGGCGAGTGGGCTAGTCGAAGTACCGAAGTACCCCTCCAGCAACCCTTAGATCATATCGGCAGCAGGATGGTCGTGAGACCCGCGGAGGTTCCTTGCAATGATCTTGCTTTGGGGGCTCTTGTTGGGAGTCTTCTTGATGGCAGGCGCAGCCTCGTGATTCTTTGGCGGAACAGGGCTAGTGAGCTAGTGGTACCATTTGGTATGTTTTCATCAAGCCGTTCTGGCCTGTGTGATGCTACTAAAGTCTTAGGACCTGCAAGCGAGCTAGCCGCTAGCCAACCTAAACCGTCCTAGACCGTGAAGGATAGCAGCAACACCGAAGCGGACTGATCAAGAACGAGCCAAATGGACCCTTGAACTTGGAGGGGCCTCTTAAATCCCAAGAACACCCTACCGCGAACGCTTCAGAGGAAGTGCCGAAGAAGTGTTGTCCGGGGTATGAGCATCCAACCCTAAACCCCGAACCCCTTCGTAGACTTGCCAATGGGATGTAAGCCGCGCGGCTAGAGATGATCCAACGTTGTACAAGACGTCAGTTTTTTTGTGAATGTCTAGTGGTACAAGTCCGACCATGGCCGGGCAAGTGAGAGATGGTCCCACTGCGCCGAAAAGCCTCATATATATATATATATATATATGGTTTAAAGCCGAAATCTGTCCCCTGCGTTTTTGCTGTTTTACTGCTTTCAAGACATCAAGGCAGCGGATACAGATCGGCTTTTTTTAACAGAAAACTTTCGCACCAGCACCTGACCACCCACAACAAAATATTTTAGTTGTTGTTTGAAACCCATTATTTCGATATATGTGTGATATTCAAGTGCACAGAGAAGCAGCGGAGAGAGTTTTCTTTTTTGGGCGCACACATGTGTTCCCATGTTCTGTGTCGCTCACTCAACCCGACGAAAAAGCTTCACGATTTCGGTGAAAGCAGCGGTGGCGATGTTTCGCCGAACAAAATATTGGGGGTTCAGTGCCCTCAGAATTACTAACATTGTTTACTGACTTATACTGGTACAGATTGGAGTCTATATCCACCATTATAGGATTTCACTGCTCTCATTCGCAACTTATGGTATCAATCTTCGTCTTACTGTCTAAGGTTTAGCTATGTCAGCTCTGTCATCAACATTCACGCCTATATATTTTCTGTATTACTTGTCACACGGTGAAATCAATAGGTTGATGTTGCGCTACATAACCACGATATAACTAGATCATTTAGGACTACATCATCTATCATATTAATCGTTCTGCCAATATTAACAGGTGTGGTGCTTTACCAATTAAGGTTATTAACAGATATGCAGTTTAATATTAATACAATTGCATTTGATTCATATTCGGAGGTGATGCTATGTTCTATCAATATTTGATTTGGTTCTTTGGGAATCCAGGAGTCTATCCTTCCAGCATTTGGTAATCAATAGTTTAACTCTATAATCGGAGAATCTTAGCTATGAGGCTATGAGTTGTCTTTGTCTATTAGGCTAAATGAGCTTGGGCACATCATATGTTTACAATCAGTATGGAACAGTGATACAAGAGCTATAACTTTACAGCTTAATACATTGGCTATATTTTCATTACCAACTTGTTCGTTAAGATCATTTAGTGGGTATTCTACGTATCTGGACAAGTAGTGAATGTCTACTGATACTATAACTAAAGTTATCTGTTACATTATATCTTTCATATAGTCTGTTCACAATAGGTGGTTCAAACAAGAGCTATAACTTTACAGATTAATACATTGGCAATATTTTCATTACCAACTTGCTCGTTCAGATCATTTGGTTGGTATTCTGCATATCTGGACAAGTATATAATAAATGTCTACTGTTACTATTTTCACAACTGGTGTTATCTGTTACATTATATCTTTCATATAGTCTGTTCACAATAGGTGGTTCAACCGGTAATATACTTGGTAACTAGTGCTACTGGTATAGATGTTCATGACTCTTATTGTGTTGTTGCACTTTTTCACTATGTCTAATTATTAGTACAACCAATGCTACTCTATTAGGACTATTATATGTATTGTCAGGTGCAATGTTAAAACGACTTACTAACAATAGATGAACAGCTATAGGTATTGGCATGAATGGTTTAGGTTAGTTGTGTGTAGTAGTTAATACAAGTTAAGTTATTTAAGTTGTTCATGGTACTTGTGTTCTAGTGATGTTATGTGAAGGTTTACACCATTACATCTCAGTGGTTTCTAATGTTTAAGCCTAGTAGAGTACAAGACTCAGGGGATCCCTCAATGTAGTGGTTGGAATAATACTAGTTCAGTTGGTTAGAGGTTGCACGTTAGTTTCATTCTTTATCTTTTCCAACCAAGATAATTTAATAGGTATTGGGGAGGCCACCGGAAGCTCGTCATGAATCGCGACTGCTATGCAGATATGACTCACCGGAAAATAGAACTAGGCTTGAGTACGGAACGCCACGAATCACAAACTGTATACGGCATGAGTGCCCTCCTCGTTCACAAAACTCGCTATGGCAAGATTTGTTTTGCTCTTCTGCGCTTTGAGAAGGCCACAACCCTGCAGGGCAACGCGGCTTACAATAGCAATGGTTTGTGGTATAAAACCAAAACCTTAGAACCAAAAAAACCAAAACCAAAAGAACCAAAAAAACCAAAAAAACTAATTTTCTGAAAGTCTTCTGGAATGTTATTACCCAGGACTATACACCAAGACTTTCTGAATATTGTTTTTTTGGTTCTTTTGTTTTTTTTGGTTTTGTTTTTTTTGGTTTTATGGTTTTGGTTTTCTGGGTTTTGTGGTACTGCTTTTTTTTGGTCTTCTGGTCTCGGTTTGTGTGCTTTTTTGGTTTTGGGCTATTGTCATTGAATGCAGTCTGCTGCTGTGGTTTTTCATGAACGAAGGTACAACAGTGAAAACGCATGGGCCAGTTTTCGGCCTCAAACCATATAT